ACCCATCCCTCGTCCGCTAAAGTAATTGAAGGCTTGGGCTACACATAGCCTTTTTTTGCTTTTCTTCGCGAGGAGTCAGCAAGAAATCTTACGGCTTGAATATCCTAAAGTTTTCCACAAAAGCGGCAGTGATGGCAGGGTCAACGACATACAGTACTTTCGTTAAAGGAGAACGTAAAAAAACTGAAAAAGTACAACGAGAAAATAACGAGAGATTACTTCTCTTATGCTTATAAACTCTAAAAATTTGTTTTTATTATTTTATTTATCAGATGCAGGCGCATCAAATCGTTATAGAACTTATGAATTGCATAAATAAAACTGATCTTATCAAATGTGAATTTATACTTTGAACATGCTGTCGTTCTGAAATAATTCATAGTATCGAGTAAAGCATTTTTATGTACATCCCTTGAATCACCAGGCAAGTTTAAAGTGTACTGATTAGTATGTGAAATTGAAAAAGTTAGAGGTAACTACAGAGTACGCATTTTCATTCTCGTTAATATCGAGACTTCCACGAACGAATCAATGCCCCGGCTCAACTCCCGTACATAACCCTTCCATTCTCACCCTTCCTTATTTTCCTATACAGTTTTTTTTCTCTTTCGCTCTCTTTTCTCTCGTGGATCTCCCTAACTGTAAACTGTTTGATTCTCTTTTTTTGACGAACGACTTTCATTAAACTCTCGCAAGCTGGAGAAAGATAGAGAGAGAGAGAAAATCAAAAGAAGAAAGAAAAGTAGTAGAAAAAATCGGCGGAGATCCGTTAGCATACAGAGAGAAAGAGAAAAAAGAGGGGGATAGGGTAGAGAGCAGAGGAAGAATAAGAGGGTGAGAAAACCCGCTGGCACGCAATACACAAGCTAATTTTCCAAGCCTTTTTTCTAGGCTTGCTATCGCTTTTATCTCTCAACACACATATACACGACCAAATATTTCATATAAAAGCATCTTAAATAAAATGAACTATCGATTGCTTTAATTTTTATGTCTGATTTCACATCAAATCTGCATTAAATTCAAGATTTTTTCAACAATGCAGTTAGTTAATTTATTGTACATAGTAAGTTAGCAGATAATCCTCTAACACTCGTATCATTTGTAATTTTCAATTCCTTGATGATAATATCATCATATAAATGATAATTTTGAATCTAACTGTGGCTCACTGCTACTGTAGTCATTAAAAAACAAAATTATTTTTCGGTATGCACGAACGTGGATAAAAATAATTCGGAATCAATTGAACTAATTTGAACTTTCAATCCAACCAATAATTAAATAATCTCCAAGCACTACTCAAAAGTATCTGAATGGTTGAAAGAAGAAAAACTTCCTGAACCAACATGGTTATTTTATGAGGTGGAAATTCTCAAGGAAGATAGTAAGAATTTGAATAAGTCTTTTCGCTCATTCATGAGCCTATTATTTGTAACTCGGCTCCTTATCTCACTTTCTAGCTCTCTCCTTTTTTCACTCTGTTTCACAGTTTTTGCACACACGCACCCAAAACCCACGCACGGGTAGGGAGACAAAAGGTCCAAAACAAACGGTCCAATGCCAAAAGATCCAAAACCCAAAATTCAAAAAAATGCCCAAAGGTACAATAGATCCAATTTTCTGATGTCCAACGAAATACACATCCAAAGTTAATTTGCCCAGCCCCAAAAAAGTCCAATAATAAAAAATGCATAGCTGCAGTGCATATATGTATATCGGTTAGGGTGGTCCACTTTTTCAAAATTTTTTTGTATCTCGGGGGATCCATTGGGATCAGAAAGTTTGAGGTTTAAAATGAATTTTCCCGTAAACTAGAACCCAAAAAAATGATTTTAGATGGTGTCGATGGATTTTTGAAGTTTAAAAACGTGCTCCAAAAAAGAAGACACTAAAATTCTGGGGGACATTGGCACATATTTTTTGTCGAAAAATTTTTTTTTTCAAAATGGTCCGCAATTATATTAGAAAAACAAACAGAGCTAGTGCGACAAAAGAAGACATACTTCGTGCGATAAAAAGTATGCGATATTAAAAAGCTAAAATATGTGCAGTTTCGAGCTTCTACAGTTGTAAATGCTGAGGGACTGAATTTTATATAACAAAATTACATATGACATCAGTGTAATATTTGTTTCAGCCTTATGATATTAATAATAGTAGCTTCAATGAGTATCGCAATAAAACTATATTTCAATGAGTTTTTTGTGGAGTCGTCCAAATTATTATTGGGATAATCGGCAGTAGCACACAAAAATAGGGAGTATGTTTAGCGTTTAATGTCTGATACTACACGTACACTAGTATAGGTATATATGAACACAGGTTTTCGTAATTCGCGTGCCTCTATTATACAGTCGTCCCTGTTTTTACGCGGCTTTTTTTTACGCGATTTCAATTATACGCGGTTACAGAATTGAGACCGAAAAATTTTTTTACGCGCACTGATTTGATTATACACGGATTCCTTCGCGAGTAGCGCCAATGATCATCGCTTATTCTATTGTTAATGGCCCTCGAGTATGATCCGATCATGGTGCGTAGCATGAAATTTAAGCATGATTGTGAAGTTGCTGTGACTGCCTACGTTGAGTTACACAAAAATATTATGAGATGTGCTAAACAGACACGCGTTACTGATTTTTTTAAGTAACATTTACATGTATTTTTGAATAAAATGTTTTGGAAATCGAAAATTTATCACATCTTTGCATGTAACCCCCCTTTTCTCATAAGAGCAATGTTTTTTTTTACGCGATTTTTTGTACGCGGTACTTTTTTGGTACGGAACTACCGCGTAAAAACAGGGACGACTGTATATTAGGATACACGGATGTTGCTACAAGCTCTATTTATCCGTGAAAAAAATTTATAGATAAAATCTTAATATCGATTAAAAAACAACCGTTGTTTAAAAGTAGCGCTAACACACCCCGGTCTCCCCTACACCTGCCAAAACTATTCGACAGTTTGAAAAATAAATAAACATAGGTATTTTGGGTAAAAAACTGCAAAGAATTCAAAATTTGTATGTTAGAATTCTATACGTTTACTATTTCTCATTAAATATGAAAAAATATAATAAACATCGTAATGCGTTATGATGAATAAGTGGAAGACGATTTACAGCTAAAATATATTAAGAATCTTGGCAATTACCTACATCTTTGATAAAGGATTATTTTTTATACATATCTTTGTTTTATTGTTGCTGTGGATTTTGGACTTAGGACCTATTTTTGCCGTTGGATCTTACGGTCTGGACCTTTTGGATTGGACTTTTTAGATTTGACTTTTTGTACCCCAATCGCACATGTACATTATTACATTTTTGTGCAGAAAATTTCGATAAGAATTTGAGGAGGCTGAATAAATCATTTTTTAGCCCAACCGATAATGAAGAGGAACTTGTCCCTGGTTTGGAGTTGGACAAAAATTACGAAAATTTGCCATTGAACAAATGAATTCGCCTTAGTTTTGGGTAAGATCCCTAGCATTGATTTAAATCGAGAGGTACAAGAACCTATCATTGGTCCGAATGATACAAGAAAAAGGAGAAAAATAATTTTGGATATAACAAAGGATGTGTCGACTCATATATCAACTACAACAACTATTGAAAGTATGTTATTTTTATAACGATATTTTAGGTGAGTTCGTTTCAGAGAGCAGATTTGGCAGCGATGGAGGAAAGACTTAAAAATTCTATCAGAAATTCAAAGCTGATCCTTCAGTACGACATTAGAGAGTAACAGCGAAATATCGCTATGCAAAATCCGACGTTACCGAAATCTCCGAAACTACCTTTATTTCCTTTAAAAACTAATGGCGATTTCTTGGCGTTTGATTAGTCCTTGAGTGACATGGAGATAGAGGGTGCCTTTTTACGTATAATTATTTTATACATGGTATATTATTATCAATAATAAATGGTTAAATTTATAAATTTTTTTTTCAACGTTTCTTTTCAAAAAATCAAGATGATGAGAATTGCTGTTTGGAGAGGATGATTTCAAAGTGGCAATGCGAAAAATTTTGAAACTCTTCTTGGAGTAACAAGTTCAAATGTTGTATTCGGGCTGCGGGAATAAAAAACACTCGTCGAAACTGAATTTTAGTGCTACGAAATCTTATGATATTTTAAAAACTGTTATTGAGGAGCACTACGGAAAGTCTGCCGAATTGGTGAAAAAAGTCCAGTAACAAAGTGGTTTTCAGGCGCCTGTGTTAGCATGCTCACATAGGAATCCGCGTGCATCTCGCTGTGTATTGTTATCGGACGGATAACAATTACGAGATAAGTCTCGTTAGGTAGGGGTGATTCGGTGGACGGCGTCGGTGAGATAATGAGGAATCGTGAATCCGACGTGGCAGCGGTGGCTTCTGAGGTTGTACTCAATGAAGTCATGACTGGTAGTGGCGAACGGGAGTCAGCAGGGGTGATCTCGTTCGTGCCTTTGCAGGTGTCTTAGGCCTAAGAATTTGATCATCTAGTAGAAGTGGCTTTTGATCGCTACCTTCTGTAGATCGTTCAAGCTCTCAGGTATCTCTTCTCTTTAGCCATCTGTTTGAATAGTAAGCAATGAACTTAGATTCAGGTAGAGTGGCTAACCCGTTTCTGAATCAATGAAAATCAGATATTTGTGTTCAACCCAGAACATACCGGAGCTTTATTTCGACTCGGATAATAAGCATTTTCAGACACCGTTCATTTTTGGGTTACAAGTTTTTACAAGTTCACCACCTAGCGGCTTGTTTACATATTATATAAATAAACAAAAATTGCGCGCTGCTGTTATAACAGCGCAGCATATAACAGTATATAAGCGAGCTACTTTGGCCTACAAAAGAGTCGTCTCTCGGCTACAAATCCTCCCCTCCATACAATATTGTACAAAAATTTGGTGGTCCAAGTGAGGGGCAAGAAAAGTATAGATACATTTAGGAACCTACCGAAAAATGCCAGTCAAGCACTCACCACCTAATATTCGATCAAGGAAGCGATTCAAAGACACGGAGTCGCCACTGAACGATCTCCTACATTTGGTAGTGGTAAAGTGGCACCCACTTCTTCGCCACAGGAGATAGGATTGAGTTATCACCTGGATTAGGCGTGATGGTGAGCAAGACAAAAGTTGACAGACTTCATAAGCGCTTTTATATAAAACCAAGAGAACTTGTCAACAAGCTTATGCGTGAGATTGTTGGCGTAGAGCAACTGAAAAAAAGTTCTGCAATCGGGAAAAATAATTGGGATGCCATACCAGAAAATATATATGACAGCGTTGAAGGTGATTCTTTGCTTTTGTTTTGTTTACATGTTCTGAAAACAATTACACGGTAATTTTAGATTATATTTGATTATTTGATTGCAGGTTATGTAAATAATAATGCACCTAAGGTCAAGTACCGTATTTCTCATAAAGATTATCGAGAAACATTGACTTATCTTTGTGCAACATTAAGGAATCCTAAAAAAGATGAAAAAATAACGCGACCGAAGAAAATCAAAAAACACAATGAGAAACGGCGTCCAAAAGAAGCACTATCAAGTCCTGAAAAAATGAAAAAAAAGGCGCATTGAATAGGCTGATGTTGAAAAAAATAGTTCTGATAGTGATTGAATTCATTTTTTTGTGATGTTATTTTGCTTTTCTTAACTTACTAGTTTTTTTTTAATGATTAATTCATTAATGAATTATTTGTTGAATTTGTAACTGAAAAAATAAATTAGCTGATTTAATAAAAATAAAAATGAATAAAAATAAATAATGAAATAGTAAAAATTCACTAAATATGATTGAATTTTGAATTTTTATAGAATTTTTATCTCCAACTTGCAGTAATTTGCAGCAATAACCCAAAATATAAGCAGATCCAGTCACTGATGAGTAGATCAATCCTCTACCCCTTGAGATGGCTAACCAAGTACCTCCAGCACTTAACAGTTGGGAGGCTTTCACTCGAGCACTGATGGCTCCTAGTCCATCACTGCCTGAATACAACGGCCTCGATCATGAAAATCATATCAGCTATCTGACGAAAGGTGATGAGTATTTCACTTTCTTACAAAGTAAATATATGCTTTAGCATGACAAAAACGACGAGAAGCAGCATACTTCCAAAGTAAAAGTCAGAGATGAACACCAGAAGGAATACTCAAAAGACGGAGAAGAACATTCCAAAGTGCTGGCACTGCCCTAGCTATCATTTCCATAAGTACGTCCTCACGTTGTAAATCAAGAGCGTCACAACGAAAATGGTAAAGACGCCGGTAGTGATGCGCTGGTCCATGTAAACGCTGCCAAGGACGTTACCCCAGCTTCCAGACTTTTCGATGAGAATCTTAATCACGAAGCTAGATTTGACCTTAAAACTATTCCGTAACCAATCGGATCTTAAGTCAACTCCACAATCAGCAACGGATCATGAGCCAACTCTCGTAGCGAGTTCGGACCATAAGCCATTCTGTCTGCTTGCCAGCTCGAACCTTAAACCTATTTTAATGAGCATTAGATTTCAAGTCAGCTCTAAAAATCCAAGCCCGGAACCGCCACCGTCACAAACAAAAAACCAAATCCTAGTTGGATCTCGATTCAACTCCTCCTGGCTTGTAAACGTAACCAGAGCCCTTAACATCCGTGTGAAAGGAGGATTTTCTCTCTTTTTATAGACTTCACAGGTCAAATCTTTGCGACTTCCTTGGAACATTTTTTGTTGTTTTATCAAATTGTTTTGAACCCCAAATTTTTTTTCATATTTGTCAGATGCTTTATCTTTGCGATCTTCGTGTACTTTCTTTATGTGCAAGAGCAAACATCTTCGCATAAGTAATCTTTGAAAATTTCATGACATATTTTTTATGATTTGTTAAATTTAATTATATTCAAATTTCTTCTGGCACTTATTGTATGAGTAGTCTTCACGACCTTTGTAAGCCAATTTTTGATGCGTAAACAAACTTGATTTTTTTACACATTTTTTATCGCACCTTTCGCAGCCAAATCTTTGAAGCTTTTGTGTACTGATACTTGGTGTCAACGCAAACGACTTCGAAACTCAAATTTCCTTTTGTATTTGTCACTTGCGTAATTTTTTCTCGTGTATGGGTGAGAATGTATAATATTTTACTCATAAACAATTGAGTTAAGGTGATGCCTTGGCCACAATTTTTACCGACCGAGCTCAGAAAATGTATATTTTCGTAACTTTTTTTCAGGCTGATTTTCGAAAAACGGTCTAGTAAAAAAGTTATTTCAATATACATTTTCCGTGCTCGGTCGGTAAAAATTGTGGCCAAGGCATCACCTTAAGAGAAAAAGTTTAAAGAAAAAACAAGTCTCAGAAGAATTCAAAGAACATCCTCAAATTTATTCAGAATTTTTGGAAATTAGATTTCACAAATTTTCTGGAAACTGGAAAATTGTTTCTAAAAATCTTGAAAAAATTTTAGGTTGGGTATTTTACACCCTTTTAATACCCCTTATAAATGTAAAATTTTTCTATGTTTCGCACAGATTTTTGTGGTTTTTTTTGTTCGAACGACCATAACTTTTTTAACTACGCATTGAATCTCAAATTTGAACTCAGATTTGCAAAAATTAAATTTTAAAAGTTTTTTGCAAGGCCCGAAAAATTAAAAAATTCCCATTTTCAAACAATACGAAAGAAAGACTTCGGATACACATAATTTTATGTAAAATTGAATTCCCTTTAAGAATCCTGGCTCAAATTTAAGATTTGATGCTTCGTTAAAAAGTTACAATTGTTTAAACAAAAAAAGATACAATGACAGATGTTTGAGAAATAAGGGTCACCCTAATACACATGCAGACAGACAGAGGCCATTGAATCGAATAATCATAATTAAGAAAAACGAATGTTTCTTCCTTTTCATGGAGGCGGTAGTGTGTCAGCGGGGATCTTGTTCTTGTGCACGCTTAACGCATCCTACACTAGGTGAGTGGTAATTCGGTCCTATGTAACTCCGGAATTTCCTATGCTTATAGAAGTTCAACCACTTTGTTGGACCAGACAGAATTAACGCTTACCTAGTTTACCATGCACGCACATCGCGGGTGGCACTGGGTCTCGGCAATTCTGCGTATTGGTCGTATCATAGCTTGGCACAGCCCTGAGATGTGTTGTATATTTCGTGCTATTTATTCGTCAGTGCTCTTGGGCTTATTATACGTAGTAAGCGGTAAATATTTATTCATGGCACGTACCAAGTTCGAGTGAATGCATTTTCGCTTGAATTACATTTGTAACCGCATCAATGATGAATGACCGAAATGCTCCTTTAAAACTATGATCACAAGTTTTCTCGAAGATAACGTTACATTATTACTTTTTTTACAATTTCTTAGGGTCATTATTGTTTATCCAAACTAGGCTTATAACTATAATTAACAATAAGGCTACGTTAGCATTAATCCATTTTTTGACAAACTATCTGTGAGTGAGAAATGAACTTGATGAAATTTAATAACAAATATATACTTTTAAAATGTATCCCTGCATTGGATTTAAATTGTAAATCAAAATTTTGTCAGAAAAAAATTATTATGGAATTTGAAAAATTGTATATTCGATATAAATGAAATTTTATCAAGTATTCCGAAGTAAATAAGAATTGCGATTAAATCGTTCAATACGTCTTTATAACCATTGAAGACATGAAATTATGATTAGAAGCACCATTCTTTCAATTCCCTGATCTCTTCGTCAATTGTCTTTTTTATCTTTCTAGTTTCTCCGCATATTATATATCTATTGACATTTCTCAGTCACCGCATCAGGGGAAAATTCATCCCTTAAGAAAATACAGGCAATAACCTAGAATCTCCAAGAAAAGTGGGAACACAACGAGGATTCCGGCAATGGTGGTACTTGAGCGAAAGAGCAAAAGAGCAAGTGCTCACTGAAAAAAAAAGAAGGGGAAAAGTGCACGCACGAAAAGAAGTTCTCGTTGCATCGCAGCCGAAGAAAAATCGCGAACAAGTTATTTTACGGTGCGTGCGCGTAAAAAAGAAGAAAAAGAGCAAGAGAGAGAAAGAGAGAGAAAGATCCTACGACGCGGCGTGTACATTCATACGCAGGTACATGTATAAGCGCGCATATACAGTAGCCGCGGTGGCAACGACGCGGGTTAAAAAAAATGAGTTGAGATCTGCGAGAGCGCGCCACTATGCGTACGCTACAAGGAAAAAGGCGGTCACGGAAAAAAGGGAGCGAGAGAGCGAAAAAACGCGTGCGACGAGAAGAGGAGAAATATAAACGAGGCGCTGCTTGTATAGTTCGCTGCTGAGAGGCAGAGAGGGCAAAACGTAACTACGACGACGGCTACGACGACGACGACGACGATGTTGGCACAACGTTGGAAAAGCCGTGCGAGGAGAAAAGCGAGTGAGAGAGTAAGAGAGAGAGAGAAAGAGAGAAGGGTGTGTAGTCAGTATATATGCATAAGCGTGGGCCACAGAAGCTCACTTTATTTTTATGCAGTTATTGATCTCCCTCCTCTTTCCTCGGCTTCGTTCGGATGCGAGACTATATACGTAGCATAGCCGCGAAGTTGGAGCCGAGAGGAGGACGCTTGGGTAACTAGCTTATCAAAAAATGGGCGTTGCCTCCACCTCCTTCCCTCATCTAACTCCTCGCCGCGAACACCCTTGCACGCGTACTAACCTAGCTGCATGTACGTATATTCACGCACGTGCAGCAGCAGTAAACCGACTACCGCAGCAGCAACCCCCTTATTTCATATAGCAGAGCGGCACCTCGCGACTTGTCTTCGCGCGCGCGCATACACATATACCTGCAGCAGCACTTCTCCCAATATCTGCGACTGCTGCACCTATGCCAAATCGGCGCTTCTAGACCCCCCCCCCCACTCGAGCACTCAGCCACCCCAAGCGCGAGACCCTTGTTTCTTTCATTGTCATACCTGTTGGCACTCGACGACCGAATCGAGCAGTCCTCAACGCCTGCATGAAAAAGACTCAGAGCCTCAGCTGAACGCAGCCAAAGATCATGCCAGCCGGTGTCTGCTCTCTACTGACGGAGCGCGTTCACCCTTGACTCGACGACGCATACGCTATAAATTAAACTTATGAACGAACCAATTAATCAAACTTTCAACTCATTTCCGTGCTTAGAGACACAATTTTAACTGTTTAAAAAAGAAATTCGTAAGGCCATTAACAAGCTCAAAAGCACGAAATTACTGCATACTCTGCCAATATGGTGTTTTACTTGTTAATGATGTCCTGTAGCGCCTGATAAGGAATCTTGAGTCGACGATTCATAAACATAGCCAGCGAGCATCGAAATATATTCATAGATCAAAGCGCAAAAATCGTCTATTTTTTCTGCTCTTTTTCATTTGGAATTGGCAAGTATATATCCGTAAGTATTGATGCGTATATATAATTCATCCCTCAGCTAGGCATCAGTCTCAGCTGAACTGATAAGCTCGCTAGCTTTCCTCGCTCTGTATGTATGTATACGTGTACGCGTACAGGATGTAGTTTTCGATCGATGTCTCTCCGGTCCTTAATTACGCCAACGAACTCGACGCAATCC